GCTTATGCATTCATCCACTGTTCCATTCAAGAAATATCTGAGGCCTGCTTCTTCATTGGGCCCAACTAACCATCAGAACCCACTGGGCCCTTCCACCAGCTGTTGATTTGTTGGTGGGTATGGAGTGGGACCTATGTATCTTGGTTTTTAAACTGTCCAGAGCCAGATTTGGAATCACTCCAGTGTTTTCAGGATATCACTGATGAGAGGAGACTTACATGCAGAGGGAGACCATCTTTCTTCTCCAGATTCTTGAGTCACCCCTTCACACCAATAGCCTATTTTGTTCCTTTCTTCTTACTGAGGTTATTCTAGGTGAGGGCCAATGGTGGAAAGATAGATAGTAGAAAGGGGAGAGAGAAGCAAAGAAAGATTTTTAAAAATGAAGGTCTGTCTACCTCTCACTCACCGTTTTACTGCTGCTCTTATTCCAGCTTCTAGTAATGATAAGGTATTTATAACAGACGAGCCCTCCTGACAGTAACAATTACAAACTCTGGACAAAATATAAAAGCCAGTCATTTGAAGGCATTGGGGAGGAACCAAAAGCATGCAGGGACAATAAATATTACTACCTTGAAAGAAGGAAAATACACTTGTTGAGATCCACATTTATCCGAGGTACTTCCCAATGCCTATGGGCATGAAGGATGCACTCAAGTAAAGGAGCAGCTTTGCTGGTCTTGGGCAGTCAGGATCAGCGTTCAGGGCTCTCAGAAAGGTGGACTTATTGTACATGGGAAGTCCATAAAGAAGAGAGCCACAGATGGGGAAGGGGGCAATATTTTCATACAAACTCTCAAATCCTTAGCTAACTCCCGCACTACACATGTGCTGGGTGAAAATCCAAGGAACCAGTGGAAAGCAACAGCTGGAAGTCTGAAAGAGCTGAGTCAACATGTCAACAGTTGCCTGATACTGGAAAGACAGAGTCCCTCCAATTGAGAGGAGTCCAGTAAACAATTTGAACATTCCACTGAAATCCTAGAAGGGCCATAGCTTAGGAATAAGAACCATAACCAAAGGCTAAGAACTATGCTTATTGATGCTGACCCTACTAAGATTCAAATCTATTCTTATAAACTCCTGCCTCAATTACCCAAGGCTACTCAAACCTGAAGGATCTCATATTCAATGCCATTTTTTTAAGAACATGGGCAAATTCTACTTGTACCAGTCCTTGCAATGTTCATATTGCTAATTAATAAAACTAATGGGAAAGGCTACTGATTTAAGACCTCAGAAAAAAACAATAAAAAGAATTATGATTCTTAGATTCATCATATACCTATGCAAATATTGGGTTGGTTAATAAGTTCATTCAGGTTTTCCCGTAAGATGTAACGGAAAACTTTGAATGAACTATTTGGCCCACCGAATACCATGTTTTCGTTCATTCCTTTCACAAGTAAGTATTTTATGGCAATGGATGTACATGCAGGCTTCTTTGGGAATTAGTAGTTAAGAACTGGCGCTTTCTTGCTTCATGTGCAAAAATCATGGGGCTTGAGAACTTATGGAATCACCCTCATATTTTTTTCAATGTCCAAGTGTGCTAAGTTGCTTCAGCCGTGTCCAACTGTTTGTGACCCTGTGGACCGTAGGCTGCCAGGCTCCTCTGTCCATGGGATTCTCCAGGTAAGAACACTGGAGTAATCTACCATGTCCTCCTCTAGGGAATCTTCACAACCCAGCGATCAAACCTACATCTCCTGTGTCTCCTGCATTGGCTGCTGGGTTCTTTACCACTAGAGCCACCTGGAAAGTCCCAATGGCCAAGTAAATTCCCTTAATGATCCCATTTTCCCATGAGATTCCACTCTAATTCAACAGGTAGATAATTTATTGTTGTAGTCTCCTGATCTGAGTTGTTCATAGGAAGGCTTCAAATAACTCTTAAAAATATCAACAGAAAAGGACAAAGTATCTAGAGAAAAGTTACAACTCTACCTAATTTTGGTCTACATTATTGAAATCTTGTAACTACATAATTACAAAATAACTATAAAATTTGAAACTATTTTAGTCATGATCTGTCTGAAGGCAGACACTATCTTCCTTCCTCCAAAATAAAAACTATTCCATTATATCCAAGTCCCTTAAAAACAACTGAGAGGGTTTTCCGGATCACCCAAACAAGAACATACTAGAACACGAATCTGAACCCTTCTTGTAGAATGCTTGGGTAGAAGCTTCCCACAATCATCTCTATACTTTGCATGTTCCTAACTATGCCAAACCCTTCTAATTGTTCAGGAAAGAAAATGTTGCCTAATAGGTATGCTAATTTAGCAGAGAGGTTCACACCACAACTTTTCTGCCTATCTGAACAACTTTTTTGATCTAGAGTCATACCTTACCCTCCCTGCCCACATATGGCAGACTTCCCCAATAGCTCAGTTGATAAAGAATCCACTTGCAATGCAGGAGACATATGAGGGCAGCAGCAGCTAACTGATTAAGGCATCTGCTCTAGGTTGATGCTTACTTCTACACTAATTCTGCATTCCACATACTGTGCAATCCTGGATACTTCAAGGCAATACTTAGCTTTTCTCTGTCAGCTGCTGTACAGCTTATGAGACTTCACTGTTCACTCTACATATCATAATTTAACATCATTCACATTTTAATCCCACCACTCACTTCCCCTTCCAGATGAAGAGGAATCGATGACTGTTCAGTGACACCTTGGGGATTAAGAATGCGCCTAGGTCCCACTGCACATAGACAAAGTAGTAGTATTAGTCGCTCAGTCGTGTCCGACTCTTTGTGACCCATGGACTGTAGCCCACCAGGCTCCTCTGTCCAAGGAATTCTCCAGGCAAGAAAACTGTAGTGGGTTGCCATTCCCGTCTCCAGGGGATCTTCCCGAGTCAGGGATTTATCCCTGCATATAAACATATGCTTACCATATTACCCAGACAAATACCCAAGAAAAATTAGTGCATCTGTCCACCAGAATAAAATAATATTCATGGCAGCTTTATTAAGAATTAAGAGTGGCAATAACTCAAATGTCCATCAACAGTAGAATAAGTTAATTGCAGAATATTTACACAATGGAATTCTATGTGACAATAAAAATAAGCTATGTGATATATGTAAAAACATCTATGAATCTCACAGACATTATACTGCACAAAAGGAAATGACTATCCATTGTCTGATTCCTCTTACATGGAATTCAAGAACAAGCAAAACTAACCGATGGTGGTAGAAGTCAGGCTGGTGGTTACCTCTGGGTGAAGAGGGCAGTGTTTTGACCAGGAATCTTCCGAGGTGCTAGCAAACGTTCTATTTCTAGCCGGGAGGTAGTTCCATAGGTATGTGCTGTTTGTTTGTCGCTGTTTAGTCACTTAGTCATGCCTGACTCTTAGGACCCCACGGACTGTAGCCTGCCAGGCTCCTCTGTCCATGGGATTTCCCAGCGAGAATAGTGGAGTGGGTTGCCATTTCCTTCTCCAGGGGAACTTCTTGGACTAGGGATAGAACCCGCATCTCCTGCATTGGCAGGTAGATTCTTTACTGCTGAGCTACCAGGGAAGCTATACATGTGAAAATTTATGGAGCTTTCCAGAATGAACACTTTTTGGTATAAATTTTATATTTTAGTAAAAAGTGAAAGCTATACACACAAGAATGCTCAGGTCAAATGTTAGTCAATTCCAATTTAAATCTATTTGTAGATGGCTCTTATCTTAAAAAATTAGTTAAAATTAAGTTAAGAAACTAAACAAAGGCCTTTCCTGAGCAGGATACGCTGCCACCACTGAACAGGCAGCTACCAAAGCCACTCCACTGACTACTGTCCAACCTTCCCAAGTTAATGAACTCATTTCTCTGACTTGCACTCTGACAAATGAAGAAATGGTAAACATTAAACAGACATAAATGAATTTGGAATTGTTTGTAACTTTGGGATGCTATGGATAAAGGGGGGGCTTTTGGTTTCTTAAGATACCCTAATGAAAATGGCCAAGATATTAATGATTCACTAAAAGCTATTCAATATTGAAAAATACCTGTCAGTTAAGGTAGACACTCATAGACAATACATGCTCCCAGAAACCAATGAATGCCCTTTCTAACTCACATTCTAAATAATAATCTTTTATTACCACAACCATGAGTTCCACCAAATTGACAAACATCCCCAACCAAACTTGGAAGGAAAACTGGCTCAATTTTAGACTCAGTATAATTGATTCATAACAATCAACCCAAACTTCAGAAAAACAATATTGTCAATTACAGGGACACTCTCTCCATGAAGATGGGTTCTGAGAATCTTCTGACAGTTGCTTAGGAGTACCACAATCCATCCAGTGGATGCTAATTAAATTTCCCGTAATTTTCTGCATCAGGAACAAATCAAGTTCCACAGTAGATATATAATGAAAACTTTTTCAAAATTTGACTAGGAGGTGGTAAAATTGTGTCTTACCTGTGCTAACATAACCCAGGTAAACATGAGGGGTGAGCCAAAATACAGAAACTCCTTCTCAAGGCCCTTTGCATGCATGTGTGTGTGTGTGTGTGTCTGTGTCTGTGTGTCTATGTGTGTGTGTTAGTCACTCAGTTGTGTCTGACTCTGCAACCCATGGACTGTAGCCTGCCAGGCTCCTCTGTCCATGGAATTCTCCAGGCAAGAATGCTGGAGTGGTTTGCTATTTCTTACTCCAGGGGATCTTCCTGACCCAGGGATCAAACCTGGGTCTCCTGCATTGCAGGCAGATTCTTTACTGAGTCACCAGGAAATACAACTAGGCAGGTCTCTAGGCTATAAATATATATTATCAGTAGTCTGTAAGTTTCAGGATTGGAAAAAACCCATTCCTTGATGAGAGAAGCTGCAGATGTTACAGTTGCTAGAATTTGTATTCTGAGCACAGGGAATTCCTACTTTCCTACCCAGTGATCTTGGAACTCTGTTACTGAACATTGCCAAATCCACATGCCTGATGCACAGTAAGGCCACACAATACTAAAACATTAGAGACTGGAACAGAGAAAGGTTTATTAGAGAGCCATGCAAAGAGATGGGAGGCTCATTCCCTATGGACCCCAAAGTTACTGAAAGCTTTCACCAAAGCCCTTTTAAAAGCAAAAGGTAAGGGAGGGAAGTAGTTAGTTGTTGCAGACTTCCTGGTGTCGGATCCTTTGTTCTTGACGTCGGGTCGTGGTCAGGTAACCATGTTCCTGTAAATCTCTACCAAAGGAATGTTATTCTCTGTCATGACAAGAAAGGGCAAGGTCTCAAGGTACAACTTTCACCCTCCAAGTTCCCAGTCCTGGCTAAGAGGAGGCAAAGCTCAGTTGACAGCTCCTTCAGGGCCAGGTCTCCAGATTCTGTCCACCTGTCGTCTCTGACGGAGCCCGGAGCCCAGGACCCAACTGGCACTCAGGCTCCTCAGGCTGCCTGCATGGTGGGGATCGGTTCTGTAGGCTGCATCCCAAACGGCCACTGCTATTAGGTTGCAGAGACCAGGATGGGGGAGAGGTTCACTGCTGCCTCAAGGCCTGGGCCAAGGCTAGTGGGTGGCCTCTAAAGCCCTGCAGGACACAGCCCCCAGTCTGTTCTCTGGGGCCCCCAGCTCACCCACTGTCCCAGGGCGGGGTGAACTGGAGGGCCTTCGGGAGAAGGCTGGGATCCACTCTTACCTCACTCATACCTCCTGACTACCACTCCACCGTTGTCTGACCATCTAACTCTCGCTGCTTGACGGTTGATTGCTTCTGGGCGGTCCCACTGCTGTGCTGTCCAATGGCTGAGCAGGACCACTAAGGGTTGCTCACTGACAATTGGTTGCCAGTGGGTGGGCCCACTGAGGCACCGACCAATGGCTGAGCAGAACCCATTGCCTGGTAACAGAACTCTGCAGGATTCCTCTCCTTACATAAAAATTGTACTCTATGCAGGAAAGGTAGCAAGAATAAAAGGGACACTGAAACTAAACTGTCCTAATCAGGGGTTAGCAAACCAAAGCCCATGGGACAAATCTGGCCTACAGACTGTTTTCAGATGTCCACAAGCTTAAAGAAAATGTTTCCTACATATTTTAAACATTTGCTTAAAAAAAAAAAAAGGAGAACGAAGAGAACATGAAATAAATGACAAGAGATCATATTTGGCCTATATGAAGTTTTATTATCTGGCCTTTTACTGAAAAAACTTGTTGACTTTAGTTTTAAACAAGTGGCAATTCTTACTCTGCCTTAGTATAATGTATCATCACTACTGTTAATGGCCCCATGATCCCTTGCTCAGAGCTCATCCAGATTTTTTCCATAGGACATCATTCCAGGATGTCCCATGTGATTGGTAATAATGCTTCTAATCACTCTATTTTGCTGCATGCAGATCTAGCTGAAAACTGTGAGAAGTCAGTCTAGTATACTGTCTTATCCTCAACATGCACAAGCCACCTTTCTAAAGAAGACATCATCCCCAACTTTTATGCCTCCTAGCTCAGTGACCAGGTTCACTGGAAAAGATATCAGTGTGTATGAAATTGCAAAAATGGCCACAAATTTTTCTGATCCCATTTGCCTGCTCCTCTGCATATGACTGTAGTTCTTTCCATGAGGAGATGGGAGTCTACTCCTCTATTCTTTGAGTCTGGCCTTGGACATGACTTGCTTTGGCCAACAAAAGCATTATTAACAACATGACACAAGCAGAGGCTTGAAATCTGCTTGCACATTGGTGCTTACCCTCTCTTGCTGCTCTTAGGAACTCTCAACCAATATCATGTTAATGAGCTTGGGCTAGCCTGCTAGATGTTCTCTTTCCTGGTAGCTCAGCTGGTAAAGAATCCACCTGCAATGCAGGAGACCCTGGTTTGATTCCTTGGTTGGGAAGATCCGCTGGATGATGGGCCCAGTGACCTACATCGTCCTGCAATTGCCAGACATGTCAATGAGACCATCAACTATCAGTGGACTATAAATGCCTGTGTTGTAAGGCCGGATACCTTGAGGAACAGAGCAGAGCAAAGAGATCCCAGCCGATCCCAGCCAGTTCAGTGGCTGAATAAATAGATGGTTGTTTTAAGCCACCTGGTTTTGGAAGTGTTTTGTTTTGCAGAAAATGTTAAGTGATATAGATGCAAAAATGTTTGAAATTATGAAAAGGAGCCATTTCAGGTCCTCTTGACAGCAGCTACAACAGTCCACCCAGGGTGCAATATGTCATAATGAAACTTCAAACTCAGACCAATCACATTCACTCCCATGACTGACTGCAAGTTGATGCTGACCAAAGAAGCCTCCAGAGGCAGATGGCCTCGAAACACAAACAGGTTACTGGAGACCTTCTGATCAAGCAGACAACTTGAAAAGTGTAAACTCCACTCAAAACAATGAAACAAAACTAGAATTTTGTTATAGCCAATCAAACTGACTGTCCTCCTCCTAAGATTATTAACATGTCACTATGGACTATTGCTTTCCTTCTGTTTTCTATGACTCTACTTTTCTTCATTTCCCCTTCCCTCTTCTGAAGCAAAATATTCCTCACCTTGTTTTTTCCTTATTGCTATTCTTATAATTGAAGTATAGTTGATTTACAGTGTTAATTTCTGCTATACAGCAAAGTGATTCGATTATACATGTATATATACACATTCTTTTTCATATTCTTTTCCACTGTGGTTTATCACAGGATATTGAATATAGTTTCCTGTCCTCACTGTGTTTTTAAGAATGAGTCAGACCATGGCCTCTTCTACCAACCTAACGTTTTGCTGGACCTGTTACCATTTACAACTCCAGGGGTCACTAGAACCATGGGAATACCTCTGCTTAACACTAGCAAACAGCCTGATGAGAACAGGATCTGAACATCTCTACACTTCAGAACATAACAGTTATCTCCCAACCCAGACATTCAGGCTTGTTATTATAATTAAACAGAATTATAAACAGCCAATATTTTACCCAGAGAGAAAAATCACCCCCAATCACCTTTTAAAATACTCCTGTCGGCTAATTCATATCAATGTATAACAAAAACTACTGTAATGATGTAAAGTAATTAGCCTCCAACTAATAAAAAAAAATAAATAAATAAAATAAAATAAATCTTAAAAATAAAATAAAATAAAATAAAATACTCCTGTCTATGGTACTTTTGTAACCATGCAAGTATTAAGAAATACAGTCAAGGGAAATAAAAATACTTACAAGGCTTACCAAGAAATCCCATTAAACTATCCCAATGGTAGAAATACCTCCTCACTTGGTACTTATTTCTAAGGTAACACCTTGTGAAAAATAGAAAAGAAAAATATATCTTTGTTCAGGAAAAGCAGGCTATAAAGAGTCAATTGATACAGTTATCATTGTATGTCATGATGATTCAATGAAAAAAGACATACACTTTCAACTCTTTACGTATAAATCATATCAATTGTGCAGCGCCAGGCCTGTTCTTTATCTGTGACCTCTATGCATACCAAGAGCTATTTCTGGGATTTCTTACCAGCTCCTTTCAAGATTTTAAATCCTGTTCAGTCTCACCATCTGGGTCTCTTCGGAGGTCTCATAGAAGTGACCTCCCAGGAGAAGTTGGAAGAGTCTATTGATTTGCTTGAGGGTTTTTACCTAGGTTAGGTAGGGCTCTCTGAATTTAAGAGATGGATCAGTAATATATCCCTTACTAGGGCTGAAATTATTCAATAAGACCATTCACACTAAGAAAAAAAAAAAGAAAAAGAACTTTGTTTGCTTTCTTAGTAATTAATGAACCATCAACATAGCTTTACAATATTTATTGGTCTCACCAGGGGACATCTGCACTCTAGCTAATATTTCCTATTGTTTCTAAGTAAACACTTCAGTATAAGAAGAAATAATATCTTTAGAAAGTACAGACAAGGGCTGATTACTCTCAAAGGCTTGACAGTCTTGAGACCTGGAATCTATTTTCCTGACATGGGCTAGGTCAAGTAAAAAACCGACTTCCTGAAATTTTCTGAACTATAACAATGAGCTTTCCTCATTATAAAATTCATTTTTCTCCAGTGCATTTTTAAGAGAGTTTTAAAAACTACTGAACAACTGATGGTAGGTGAGCAAATGGTGATTCTACACAAGGAAGAGAATGATGAGTCCTGAGATGGTTGCCTAGCCTGGGCCATAAGCAACCACACCACACTGTATGCCCAACATCCTTATAGTTAATTTCTATTAAACAGATACATAGATGATGTACAGTAGAAAAGAATATTTTAGTGAGTTTCTTCTTAGCAACACCACAGAAATACCATGATTTTATTCTTTATTACTGTTCAAGTTACTCATCTATATGGAAATGATACCCACAGGCCATTTTTTAAAAGCTGTTTCAAAAAATGTTTCAACTACAGAATTACTCTTGGATTAAGGGCAGTAAACCACCACCATCTAAGAAGTGTCATTTTATTTATTTTTCAGAAAAATTTTGTTTTTAATAGAAAAACTATAAAACTGATTTAAATATATGTTTAATATTTTAAAATAAAAATTAAGAGACCAGAAATATGCAAGTGATCAGAAATATACTGATGCAATCATCTTTTGAAAATAAAAACATTTATTGAAGATTCTATTAAAATGCACAAAAAGCAAACTTATTTTAGGATTTAAACCAAAGAAACATTTTAAATATCTGTTACTCTGGCATGTAAGCCCAACAACAGTCTTGATCTTGATAAAGTCTACTTATTAACAACATGTCTTATAAGTGGTTCATTCCAGAAGTTGGAAATTATAAAATCAAATACAAGATAAAAATTTTAAAGCCCATAATATCAAAGTAATTTACTTTTACATACATAATTTTATTCTAAAAAATTGAAGGTGGTTGGCCGAAGAATATATGTAGAAGCAAACTTGGCCAGAAATAATCCTATAAACAAAATACTGATGAAAAGATACCAAACTTTTTAAAGGAAAGCTCAAGGGAATTCCCCGGCAGTCCAGTGATTAGGAATCCACACTTCTACTGCAAGGGGCACAATTTCCATTCTTGGTAGGGGAGCTAAGATCCTGCAAGCCACATGGTACAAAAACACACAAAGACCACACCAAAAAGAAAAAGTAAAGCTCAAGTACATATGGAGTGGAATAAATCAAAGATTATAATTCTATTCTAAAGCCAGAAAAGGCTAGATTTCTATGGTTAGAATGAAAAAACTACCAACACTTTTAAATAAAAAATGCTTTTGCTAAAAAGCAGTTCTAAGAGAGAAGTTTATAGTGACATATGCTTACCTTAGGAAACAAAATATCTCAAACAACCTAACCTTACACTAAAGGAACAAGAGAAAAAACAACAGATAAAACACAAAATTAGTAGAAAGAAAGAAATCATAAAGATGAGAGTGGAAATAAATGATATATAGACTAGAAAACCAAGAGAGAAGATCAATGAAACAAAAAGTTCTTTGAAAAGATAAAACTGATAAATCTTTGGACAGACCCATCAGGAAAAAGAAAGGAAGGGGTCCAAATCAATAAAATTAGAAAGGAAAAAGAAATTATAACCAACATCACAGAAATACAAAGGAACATAAGAGATTACTACAAGCAACTATACCCCAATAAAATGGGCAACCTAGAAGAAATGGACAAATTCTTAGAAAGGTACAACCTCCTAAAATTGAACCAGAAAGAAACAGAAAATATGAACAGACCAATCACCAGTACTGAAACTGAGTCAGTAACTTAGAAAGTCCCAGCAAACAGAAGTCCAGGACCAAGAGCCTGCTCTGTTCTCTCCCATCACAACTGGACGTAGAATCCACAGTAAATACACTCATCCGTGATTCCAACCACTCAGCCTCTCTATCGCCTTGCCACTCCATTTCCAAGTTAGAGAAAGGAGACCAAGTTAGCTGTTTCTTGTCTAGCCTTCCAAAGATATTTAATACATACATAAGCATTATGTAGGTGTGTGTGTATGTACATCCATATATTTGGATTGATCCCCATCTCTTAAACAATGGTAGCATAACTCACATACTATCTTTCACGTGGCTTTTTGCACTTTATCAATATATCTCAGATATGTGGTATATATAATATATACAATGCAATATTACTTGGCCATAAAAAAGAATGAAACATTGTCATTTGTAGCAATGTGGACAGACGTAGAGAATATTATGTGTAATGAAATACATCAGACAGGGAAAGGCACACATGTGGAATTTTAAAAATAATAAAAATAAACATATATACAAAACAGAAACAAACTCTCAGACATAGAAAACAAACTTGTGGTAACCAAAGGGGAAAGGGAAAGGAGGAGGGGCAAATTAACAGATATTATTACACAATATATAAAATAAATAAGCAACAAGGATTCACTTATAGCAGTGGGAATTACACCCAATATCTTGTAATAACCTATAATGGAATATAATCTGCAAAAATACTGGATCACTGTGTTGTACACCTGAAAATAACATAATATTATGAGTCAACTATACCTTCATTTTTCTATTCAACTATCATATTCATTTTTTAAAACTGAAAAAAACCCAACAGATCTCAAAGATAATTCCATATCAACACATAAACATTTTAAAATTCTTTTTTGTGACAGCTAGTATTCTGTTGTACTAACACTTTTTCAATTAATTCCTTATTGAGAGGCATTAAATTGGTACCAATTATTTGCTCTTATAAAAAATTTGGGATGAATATCACCGAGCAACTTAATTTCACAACTAAGTACAGATAATTATATCTGTAGAGTAAATTTTTAGATATCAAAAGTTATGCCCTTTCTACTACTTCATAGCTGCCTTAGGATTCTAAGAAATAACACAGACTCACAATGATAGCCATTTAAATTATTTTATTTAAAAATGTTACCTAAATACCCAAATTATGCTTTCCACTTCAATAAAAAATTTTAAATTGTTTTTCTGAATATGTTGAAGGACCAAAATAGCCTGAGAGATGGTTTTATGCCAGAGGAAAATGACCTCAAAACCACCAGCCACAAGTATTGTACTGGCTCTCACTTGGCATTCAGAAGGTATCTGCTCCTGAGGATTCCGCGTCCCCCTGGCCAGTGCCAATGCTCAGAGACTGAGAGTAGTCTTCCAGGCTCACTGAGGGTAGTGTCACAGACATCTTGGCAGGTGACGTCTGAGAAGTGAAGAGTGGAACTGCTTTACCCCCTGTAAAACGAGAAACTCATTCAGCTAAACAAGTGTACCGGAGTACTTAATGTGCCTTGAAACTTTGCCAAATAATACTGGGGATCAAAAAGAGAATTGCATTTGCGATAAATTCTTTTCTCAAGGTGCTCAGATCTTGTCAGAGAGATAAAATCACCCTTCTTGCCATACCCACTCCCAGACAATTAGAGACAATATGTTATGATCTGAATGTTTATGTCTCCCCAAAATTTATATGTTGAAATCCTAATGCCTAGTGTGATGGTATTAAAAAGTGTGACCTTTGGGAGGTGCTTAGGTCAAGAGCGTGGAGCCCTTATATACAAGATGAGTGCCTTTATGAAAGAGGCTTGCCAGCCCCTTCCACCACGTGAGGACACAGGAACCAGGAAGAGGTGCCTCGATCTTGGGATGACCAGCCTCCAGAACTGTGAGAAATAAACTTCTGTTGTCTAAAAGCCAGTCAGTCTATGGTATTTTGTTACAGTAGCCCGAATGGACTAAGACAAGATACAAGTGCCCCAAAGTCATGTTACAGATGATAAATGATAGGTAAGATCAAGTAAGGAAGGCAGTTTGAAATGAAGAATTCATTAATATGTTTAAAAAGAAAACAAACAAACAAACAAAAAAACACAGTTGACTACATATGTATAGCTATCTGCCTGTAGGCTAATTCATTCCTCTAAGTTTAAAAAGAACATTGCCTAAGAATATAAAGAATGCCAACTTGGTATTATTTAAAGACCACAAAAACCCTCATTTCAAATTTCATGGATTTACCATATATACATAATAATAAGCATCTTAAAGGCAAATCATCTTAAATAATCTTAAAGATATCTCTGAGTCAAGAGTCATTGGAATTGACTTTACAAGAGTCTTTAAAATAGTTTCCACAGTAATAGAGTGAAATTTTCCATCAGACTTTTATAGGGACCACAGTAAAAGAAGTCAGTTTTGGAGATTTCAATGATGACTCAATCACAGCTGCCCAAGATGATCAAAATATTTGTAAAAGACAGATTCCTTTCATATTATGATGTCTAACTATGATTATTTTAACATTATCATTCCTGTCTGTTACTTACATCAATTTCTTTTTTTTTTCTTCATAAAAGAGGATTGTGCTGGTGTATTAGTTTGTGATCACAAACTAATACACCAGCACAATCCTCTAAGAAGAAAGCAATTCTTATGTCATTTAAAATAGAATAAGTATTTTAAATAGGAAAAGAATTCTTAAAATCTGGCTCTGTCAGGATATGATAAAAATTAAGAAACAACAAGAACTTAAAAAAAAAATCTTCATAGTACATGAGCATTTAAATATTCTGACATTTTACAAAGTCATGATGTGGAATACTCAAGCAACCAAGAGTAGTATCCAAGACCAGAGTTTACCTTGTCAATAAAGTAAAAATCAACACAGGGTACAGCTAAGGCTTGAAAACAAAATTAATAGTCAACCTGTAAATTTAAATGCTATCTTTCCCCAATTAAGAAAAAATTTCATTCCTTCCATTACTCACATATCTGTCAAAAACTACACTGTTACCAGACATTCTTCTTTTCTCTGTTACCCAATTTCACAAAACTGCTTTACATGTGCCTTTATTTTCTACTCTGAGCATTAGATTACCGATTAGATTGTTCAATGATGTAACAACAGCTGTAACTGGTTTTTTTTTTTTGGACCTTGAAGAAGTTTCAAAGTCTCAAGGAACATATTAAATTCAATTATTATGAAGTTATCTTAATTCTTATAATTACTATCTTATATTTATACAACAATTAAAATTTTGCAAAAATCTTTTCCACATCATCTTATCTCATCCTGATAGTAATTCTGGAAGAAAGACAAGGTAAAAGTAACTGAGGCAGAGAGATATCAGAGTGGGCCTTTCCAGATGCATATGCTCACTAACTAAACATATATAAAAGTCTATTGTATGTGTGGAGCTAAGATGATGTTAAGAAGATACACAGGTGAAAAAGAAACAATCCTCATCTTCAAGAAGCTTAAAACCTAGTAGTGGAAGTAAACATGTAGAAGAATACTTGGTTTAAGTTAAATGAAAGCAATAGTTGAGCTAGGACTTAAAAGATGTGGAAGGCAATGAAGGAAATAAAATAAATAATAACAGAAATAAGAGAAGGATAAAGAAAAGTGAATAAAGAGAAAACAGAGGAACACAAAAGGGAAATGTTAGATACGAAGGAGATCCAAAAGTGAAGAGTCACACAAGGTAAGAGATGGTTTTCAAGAGTCTAGCATAATTCATACTCATCGCTTTCTGCTTGATACCAAATATGTTAATTACTCACATAAAAATAATTATTTTTAAGCTGGTTGAGAGAAATTCCATTTTAAAAGTGGTGTGTAATGGTAGGGGCACCTAAAGAGAGGAGCAGTTATAAAGTTTCAAGCACAAATCCCTTTATGATTGGTCAAGTCTAGGACCCAAATGAGGTCTGCTGTTCAGTCACCTGGGAATGGTCCCATCCAGACTGTCAGTAAGGCTTTCATGTGGGAAGGAGTAAAAGGGGAAGGGGAGGAATAAGAACATGGATTCTGTGACATGGCAGAGCTGGGCACATCCGCTCGTTCACTCAACAACTATCAACTGAGCACCTACTATGTTCTAGAACAGGCACTGTTCTAGACTCTGGAGATTTTGAAGAAAAGCAAAGCTCTAATCTCACTGACATCATATTTCAGATAGGTGTAAAGAGCAAATAACAAGCAAATAAGGAAACAAACATATACTATGTCAGGCTGTGATGAGTGCTATAGTGGTAAAGAGCCCGCTCGCCAATGCAGGAGACATCAGAGACCCAGGTTCAATCCCTGGGTGGGAAAGATCCCCTGGAGGAGGAAATGGAAACCCACTCCAGTATTCTTGCCTGGCAAATCCCATGGACAGAAGAGCGGAGGGCTACAGGCCATGGAACTGCAGAGTTGGACATGACTGAAGCGACTTAGTGGAAGAGGAAGAATAAGTGTTGAGGGACTCTGAGAAAGTTACATAATTTTCAAAACCCTGTTTCCTCACCTACATAATACAGGTAAGAGTACCTACCTCCAAGGGTTTAGTGAGGATTAAGTGGGATAATGTATATAAAGTGTTTTGAATAGTGCTGGCACACAAAAAGCACTTAACACAGATTAGCACTTGCTTTTAAGAAACTGGAAAGAAACTATCCTAAGAGGCAATGACTTTTAGGGTTGGCTGCAAAAGGTAGGTCAACTTATGAGAGAGGGGTAAGAATGTGTCACTGAAATACACTAAGGAAAAAACTCCACAGTTCTAGAGGGCCTCCAAATAATTATGCTAATTTTAACTCTAGTAATTGTGTTTTTAATCAATGAATTACATAAATAAAATGTATCATCTTATCTAAATGGTTTGTAATGTACATTTTGGAAAGATTTTTTGAAGTGCTCATTTATACAAGCAAAATCACAGTTTTAGAGCTTTAAAAGAGAACTTTTTAGGCTGGAAACCATTTTTAAAAAGCATCACTGTTAATAGGCAAAAAGCATAACTTTCATATCCAGTTATGGTCCTCACAGAGTTTAATTTTCTTAAGAAAAGACATAATATCTTAATAAATCATCAGTAAAGCAAACATAAAATTTCTACCTCTATTAATGTAGTTTGATGGTTTCAAAGCTTGACTTTTAAAATTTCCACAGTCATGTCACTACTCTATGATGTAATTGTTTCAACAGCTGTTTTCAGATTTGTTTTAAAAAAAGGAAAACTATTCCCTGATTCCATGGGTAGGCACTACGTCATTTAACCTGGCATGCATTTAAGCTAGAGGTGTCCCTGAGCGAGGCCATGTATTTGAAGCATCCTAAGACAGGTTTTAATATACTTTTTAGACATTTGAAATTCAATTTTTTGCTTTAAAAGTATTTAAAATTCATAAAGAAACTCTTTTCTGTTATCTTCTTAGAAGACTAACGAACAGAAAATCTAAAACTAATTTATTCTAATAAAGCAATAATGTAGGATTTTTAAATGTCCATTTAAGAATTTGCCTATATATCGTATGTGTACTGTTTTTAAAAATAGATGTAGATATAACTTTCTAAAAGCTTTTTAGGTTTAGATAATCTATTTCATCAGTAGGTTTTAGATTCTGACTCTAATCTTCAAACAGTCAGTAACCCATTATTATGTCTCTGTTATTTGCAAACCGAGAGGAATCCAAACAAAGCATTCTCTCCTAAAGCAACATGAGACAAATAGAGAAAAGAAGAAAAAAATTCCTCAGTAACTTCACAGAAGAATGTAGCACCGGACACTCCTTACTTGGATTCAGTAACTGCATGTGGCATGAGTCACATAAATAAAGTTATGGGATTCTTCTATGAGTAGATGAATAGATAGTACAGTGACTTTAAATTGTTTGGATTTGGGTATTTCTTTGAGCATATCAGGATAGGTTTCTTATAAACTCACTTAAAAGTAAAATAAAAAGGAAACAAAAACTGTAATAATCTAACCCAAGTACATGAAGGACCTTAGCCTAAAGTCTAAGGATGGGTGATCATGGATCTATGAATACCCTGAAACCATACGCAAATTACTTTCATAGGAAATACTTTCATATTTATATGTGTTCATATAAATAGTCTTAAAGGGAGTCAGGGAGTCATAGCGATCAGTGTCTCTCAGGGGTTTGCAGACCCTAAACACTTCAGAACATGTGCAGATGAAGCACATTCTCTGGGCTGTTTTTCCAGCCACAGTGGTGAAATAATGGGTTCCTCTCCTGTACACTGTTGATGCCTTAGTCTCAGGATGGCAACTCCATTGCAGCACTTAGGAAACTGCACTGCAATTATTCACATGTCTGTAACTTCCTTTGGACAAATATTCCTCACAAGCATGGACTGTGACTCACATTATTATTATTTGTTTGTAGGTCTATTGCTCTTACTAAATGTGCCCTATGAGCAAAGCAACTCTGTCTTGTTTACCTCTGTAAAAGTTGCAGCATAATGCTAGTACATGCTGGGCCTTAAAATGATTGCTGAACCAAGCTGATTTGTTTCTGCCTAGACAGTCTGTGGTTCCTCATGACTAACAGCTTGCTTAGATTCATGTTGACCAGATCTTGTCTTTAAGATTAGCCCTGAGTTCCAGCAACACAGTTGCTTCCCAGCTGTCTACGAAAATGTTACAGTATTTCAGCTGTGCTTTATTGAGTTCTTGAAGCATTTTTCCTGTCCACTCTGGGCTCATCTACTCTTGCTTAAATTCCTTGCTTAAGCAGCTGCTAAACTATCCTGCTGTATTCAATTCTCCTCACATACTTAACCCAGCCCTGCAGATTTTGCAATCATAGCTTCCGTGCTTGAGAACAATACTACAAGTTTTGATGAAGATGATGTCTGGTCATTTGATGTTAAGTATATAGTATGAAAAATTTGATTTGCCTCTGCTTCACAGAATTAGTCACTATTAAACATTTCTTTCCTTACTTTCATGTTTAAAAGTGATTTAAAATGTTTTATAGTTTCATCCCAAAATATGTTTTACAAATATAAATCCTATTGCATTTTTTAAGTTTACTATTGCTTCTGTTTTTTAAGTGAGTTGACAAATGCTTATTTTTAAATTTATAATTTAAGATAAAAATACAGCAGTTCCTATAGAAAGAATAAATGTATCGGCACCTGTAAAAACAACTCCAAATCTTTTTTTCTGCAAAAGCAATAGCTAATGTGAAAGATTTGTTTCTTCTTATGCCAGGTTCCAGCTGCTTCACTTTGTTTAAAACTGACTTCAAAGTTTAAACAGTGTCCTGTCCCAACAAATAACCTCCCCCAGATGGAATTATCTAGAGTGCTAGCCTCGGTGCTCTGAGTACCACACCTGCAGCCTTTTAATTCAACATTTTATAAACTTTCATAGAGGAAATGACAGATTTTTTGGTCCTCTACCTTTTGGACAGTTGACTTTAGTGTTTGAAGGGAATTTTATTCTTTGGATGAATTTGGAGATATTTAGAAGAATAAAAAAATTGGAATTATTGTTTTTACTGTGTTGATTATTATGAGAGAAAGAAGGAAATGAATAAAAATGGAAACGTTTAAAGTAAAAAATCTTACCTGTAAATAAAGATGTGAGGTATAGACTGGGCTCAATTTGTGTCTGATCCGTATCACCTGGTGAAGCTACAGTTAAAAAATTTTTTTCATAAGAAAATCAGTGAAGCATAGAAATAATCATGGTTTCTTCCACTTAAAAAACAAACAAACAAACAAACCGACAAACCAAATGCACTCCCACAGTTAGTTTCATAAAGCCAGGCAAACAGAAGCCTGACCTCGTGGCTTAATATAAAAAAAGAAATTAAACAGCTGAATTTTAATAACTGTCAACAGGATAATACTTTACCCAATAGATTATTATCTTCATGCATCCTCGGGAAAAGGATCATGAGAGAATTTGCATTATTATTTGTATTAAATAAGAGAAACTCATGGGCCATTTCTTCCCAAGCTAAAAGTTTTCAGATTCTCTTACTTAAGGATTTAATCATTATAAATGAAGTTTATCCACCTCACTAGAACTGACTCAAATTTGTTCCTTTTTACAGCTGAGTAATATTCCATTGTATATATGTACCATAACTTCCTTATCCATTCATCTGTCAACAGACATCTATGCTGCTTCCATGTCCTGGCTATTTTAAATAGTGGTGCAGTGAACCCCAGATACATGTGTCTTTTACAACTGTGGTTTTTCTAAGGTATATGCCCAGTAGTGGGATTGCTGGGTTATATAGCAGTTATATTCTTAGTTTTTTAAGGAATCTCCATACTGTTCTCCATAGTGGCTATATTAATTTACATTCCCACCAACAGTGCAAGATGGGTCCCCAGTGAGGTGGATGAACCTACAGCCTGTTATACAGAGTGAGGTAAGTCAGAAAACGAAAAGCAAATACTGTATATTAAGGCATATATATGGAATCTAGAAAAATGGTACTGATGAACCTATTTGCAGGGCAGGAATAGAAACGTAGAGATACAGAAGAGAGCTGTGGACACAGTGTGGGGAGAGAGTGGGACAAACTTAGAGTAGCACCGAAACATATACATAACCGTATGTAAAACAGATAGACAGCAGGAAGTTGCTGTTTAACCCAGGGAGCTCAACCCCGCGCTCTGGGATGAAGTGGGGGGGGGCGGNTAACCCAGGGAGCTCAACCCCGCGGTCTGGGGGGGGGGGGGGGGGGGGGGCAGTGCTTACTCTGAGGTTACTATTAGATACTATCCACGTTCACTTTCCCTCTGCCTTTAAGTTTCTGAGTGAGGGGACAAAACTTACTGCTAGATGCTTTTCAGATTCTGTAATTCAGAGTGTATAGAATCTGGTATACAAACACAGAAACAAAGGTATCAATACTATCTCTGAAATCCCTTCCACTGAAGAACCATTTGTTTGTAGCAAGTAAATTAAGAGGCAGTTTTCTCTGAAGTGGTTGCCTGAAAGCCCAGAATTTAAACTTACCTATTGTTATAGTAAGAAATAAGCAACACCATCCCCTTTCAGACTAAACAAACAGGGTGGAAGCTAAGAAAAAGAACCTACTTTTTTTTCTGTTCCTACTACACTGGTGTGTAAGAGAAAAAAATTTTGTCAAGTAAATAACAACCAGACACTCTTATTAAGAGAGACAGCTAAAAGCTTGTGGCTAAGAGCACAGATTCAGAGACTAAGCTACCTGAATGCAAATCATAGTGCCGACTTGCCATGAGGTCTGGGAGAAACCCTACACTGTGAAGGATCACCACTTTGTGCTTCCATCTCCTCTTCTAGCTCACAGGTTTCTTATGATCGTGAGCAAGAACGATATATGTAAATTAAATAGCCTAGAGCAGTGCCCACAGAGGCACTCAGCAAGCGTTTGTTTTATTATTATTTAGCCTATGATTATTTTCTAACTTTTCCCAATTGATAAAATAATTGCTCTCATTAAAGCAATCTTTCCAAAACGTATTTTGACAGGGAGATTTTTTTGTTTAAGAAAAAGAAAAAAATACTGATCACATATTAGAGCAGTAGAGCTGTAAGGGATCTCAGAGATTATCTTATTTTTACTAATAAGGAAACCACAATTCAGAAAGGTTCACTGACAAAGAACTCAATGTCAGTGTTAGTTAATGACAATCAAGTTAGTGTTGGAACTACAACTCATAAGAAAAGGTTCTTTCCCCATCACCCAACGTTTTCATACTCTTCTACTAAGATGTATCTTGGTAGATATTGAGCTATTGAGACCTGTAAGAATAATCAGAAATTACCTGTTCTACTTAAAAAAAAAAGTTATGAAGGAAGGAAATATATAGTATGTTCAAGAGCACAGCCGCTGATTTCGGAATTGGACTTGGTTTGACTCTCAGCTCCATCATTAATTATTAAGTGTGTAACCTTGGGCAAAATATGTAACTTCTTTGAGCCTCAGGTTCGTCAAATGTGGAGTAAGACTACTATTAACATTACCTACCTAACTGGATTGATTAAAGATCTTAGCAGAGTACATGACATAAAGGAAGTACACATAAATGGTGGCTATTACATATTTTTATTATTGTTACTATAACCATAAACAAAACTCTCCTTTACCCAAACTAGGAGAGAATATCTCTACAATGATTTCTAATGGGGAAAAAAAACCACTATGTCAGTATCAGAGTTGACTCTTGTCATTTTTTCCTATAACAAGCAGCAGCCTCACAATTCTCACTTGCTGGTGATAGGGTTTACTGGAAGTTTGTATACTGTGCTCTGTAGGTGACAATTAAGGTAGCAAACACATCCAAACACAACTCACACCATGGCAAACAGGATTTGAAAGCTGTTTATCAAGTTTGTTAGTTCTTACACTTCCTTACCCTGCCATTCAAAATTGAAGAAACATAATATTCATTGGTATTCAAGTCAAAGAAAGAAGAGAAAACTTCTAAATATTTTATCTATAAATTTCTATTAACATTTCTATGGAAATTCCGAGTGGGTAGTATTGATTAAAAATTGAATCATAAATTACCTGTGAATATAATTTATCCTTTTAGCTTCAACATAAAAGGCAAATGTGTTAACTTTATTTAAATGTTTAAAACTACCACAGAATAAAAACAAATGATCTTAGATCTAAAAATAGAATTGAAGGCTGGGAAAGTAGGGATACTCCTGAAAAAGCTTTAAATGAGGGCACTCTGAGGGGAAGGGGATTGTACCACCTGTACACTATACTTATTCCAAACATTCACTGTATTTCAGCACTTTAATTTATTTTAAATGGTCTTTCAAAATCTTGTAGCTATATGGTGTCAATATGAAAGCAAGTCATCGTATTTCAAAAAGTGGTACTTTTAAAAGGACAGGAACCTAAGCTTTATGTTTTACTCCTGTATTTTAAAAAATTTTATTTTTGGTTGAAAATTTATCTTCCACTCTGTAATACTATCTTTAGTAAGAACCACTAGTATAGCAATACTTAAACCTGTAGATCATTATTGTTTTAAACAAATTCTTTATGTATTTAAGAAAACCATACAGTACTATAGGACTGTTAACTGCAAAACAAGGATATAAAGATGAAGGCCTTCAAAACAGGAATTTTTTTAACCCACAAAACAAGAGTTTTTAAATGAGTGACACCCAGAATTTGAAACCAAATCTAACAAGTAGAAATCTAAAATTAGTAACAATCAGAATAGCTGGAGCTTTTATACTAGCGTGCTCACTGAAGGAAAAAAGGGTTTGGGGGGGTATTAGGAATATTATTAAATATAGAAGTTAATACTTTTCAAACAAATAAGTTACTCATTGGCTGCATCTCTAATAGGTATACAACTCTTGCCAATAATAGCATTCTCAGAAATAGTATCTTGGCAGCATAAAAGCTTATATTCAACTGACAGGAAGCTGATTGGTAATTCAGAAAATAGATGACCCACCTATTCTAAATGCAGTCTATGATTTATCTGAATAATGTACACTTAGTTATTAAGGCTCATTAAAAACAATTTAAGTGCTTACTGAGCAGTGTAATGACAAAGAGAGTTCCTGCCTTTTAGTGGCAGGAATGTCTAGAGGGACATTCCAGCATTAAAGTCTGGTTGCAAACAGAGAGACTCGATGTTTTAGTAGACAACTTTATCTACAAGACACTTCCTGCTGGTTGAACAGCCTGTGACACAGCTACTAAAACAAATTCCTCTCAGATAATTCTTTATAAAAGCATGCCATAATGGTTTGAAAACTAAAGGAATCTTAAAAATTACAATAGGTTTGCCCCATGAAAAAAGGCATACAAAAAGAAAAAAGATACATTCATTGTGATTTCATTTTTTTAAAGTACAAAGTCAAGAGAACTATGTTGCTAGAAGTCAGAACAAAAAAAAGTCAGAATGGCGGTTATCTTTTCGGGGGTGGAAGCTGTGTCTGAAAGGGAACGTGAAGGGGCTTTGGGGATGCTGGCAATACTGTTTCTTGAAGACCAAAGTGTGCTCAATTTCTGAAAGTTCTTTCGCTGTACAGCTATGCATACTTATCTGTATGTATATTACACTTCCATAAAAAATTGAAGTTGAAAAAACTTCAACAGGTTGGTTTCATCAATTAAAAGGTTAGTTTCATCTTATTGTTTTAAACTGTTTTCCAGTGAATGAAAATGCCACATAACTAACTACCAGGTAGCCTTTCACATCAAGTAAACATCGGCAGCCGGCCACACTGCTAACTACAAAGGCAAATTCCTATTTCTCTTCTTAAAATCCTGAAACAACTGTAAGCTGAAATCACTCAGAAAGTGAAAAAAAGCAAAAGTCGCTTAGTAGTCTCTGACTCTGTAACCCCACGGACAGTAGCGCACCAGGCTCCTGTGTCCATGGAATTCTCCAGGCAGGAAGACGAGTGGGCTGCCATTTCCTTCAGAGGCAGAAGGTAAGTTCTGGCTGTTGTCCTTGTTGTTCTTGTTTGACTCTCACAAGTCTAGTTTGACTTACGACCTAGGATACCTGATGCTACAACAATGAGCCACTCAATTTAATTGAAAGCTCAAACTAATCTCATTTTAACTAATCTTGAAAGCATTTCTAAAATATCAATACATTTTGTAAAAGCCACTTATTTCCTTATTTTGACTACAAAAAAAAGTTTC